GGGAAGTATGAGGAATTGGGCATTGTTAAGCTCATTGATGTTGTGGGCTTGACTAAAAATGTGTCTAATCTTAATCCTTTTTGTGGTCAAGCTGTGAGGGAGTTTTATGCCAATTTGACCCCTGCTGTTTTTACCCCTGGTAGCCCTCGTTTTCACAAACTCTTTCTTAGGAATAGAGTTATTGATTTTTCTCCTGAGCTTCTGAATGTGCATTTGGGTTTACCTGATGATGTTCCATCCTTATCTGAAGTTGATCTTGATGTTGTTACCCAAAATGATAAAAATCTTGATACATGGCCTGGTTCTAATTTGCCTGTGAGCTCTTTGTGTTTTACCGCCAACATCCTCCACAAGATTGGTGCTGGAAATTGGACGCCTACTTCCAACAAAAACTTGCTCACTGAATTTCAGAGCAAAGTCATCTATTGGATCATGGATGGACAGGTGTTCAATTTTGGTGAGGTTTTTTTTTATATTATCCACTCGTTCATCATTAATTCCGAGTCTCGTCGCACTCTTCCCTTTCCTTACTTGATTTGGTCCTTCCTTGCTGCTAACAATTTCTCTGTGAACCCTCGCTTCAATGACGCGCTTGAGAATCCCGGAAAAGCCTTTGTGGTCAGTGCTCGTACCTTGAATGTGAAGGCCACTCCCAAGGCCAAGTTTGATCTTGCTCCTTCTCTGGTTCCCACCAAGTGGGATGAATTCCTGGTCCAGCAGCTTGCTGAGTGGGATGCAGTGGCGAAGAAGGTTGCTACCCAACAGGCTTATCTCCGCCAAGTACTTGAGGCTGTTAAGGGGCTGCAACGCAAGAACTCGGGGACAGGCCCTTCGGCATCCCGTAGTTCGAAAAAGGGGGAGAAGTCCAAGAAGGCTACGGGAGATGAGACTGAGGATGACGAGGATGCCTCTGAGTCAGGGGGAGAGTCTTCCTCTGGGTGAAGTTTGTGTTGGTTGCTGCTTCTCTTTTTTAGTTGTTAGGTTGTGCGTGGGAGGGATGTAGTGAGGTCTTTATGTACTGAAGAACCTCGTATCTCATTTGCTCTTGTGATGTGGTGTGATGCCTTTTGCTACTATTGTCCCTGTGATGAACTTAGTTGGTTTATGAAGTGCATATTATTGTTTATTGCTTGCAGGAACTGATTAGTCGAACTGTGTGTCTACACAGTATTACTGTGTTGTTCTGCTGTGCTTGTTGCCTTCTCTTGCAGGTAACCTTTGTGTAAAAAATTTCGAACTAGATGCCAAAGGGGGAGATTGAAAGATATAATATTTTGGCATGAGTTCGAAAGGAAGTTCCTGCATGCACTAAATCCGTAAATAAGGGAAGTTCCATGTAGCTCAAGCTTCCTAAATTAACTTATTTTATGTAAAAGGAATATTAGATCTTATTATGTGTTTTTGTATTATAGGAAATCGGGTCCTGAGGCTAAAAGGAAAGAGAGGCGTGCGTTTGGAGGAGATCTTGGAGAGAGAGAGAAAAGAAGTTTATCACTTACCATTGTCACTTGCTACATTTTAGGAAGGAAATCATGATTGGAGTCCAATGCTTGAAAAAGACTCCAACCCTAAGAGATGCATATATATTTCGGACTTGAAGAACAAAAGAGGCTGCTGATTATCTTTTCACTTAGAAGTCATCTTCAAGCCTCAAGTTTAAGTGCTTACGAATTTTGTTCATGAACTGCAGTTCTTTATACATTCAGTGATAAAAGAACTGAAGTTTTATTTTGTTTAGTTGTATTCTTTTTATTCTATTTCAAACACTCTGAGAGTTACACTTAGGGAGTAAGTGTGTGTATATAAGTCCACGGGACGTGGCCGGAGAATTAATTGATAGGCTAGTTCATAGTTGTGGCTAGAATAGAAGGGAGTTCTATTGTGTAAGTCCAAACTATGTTTTTGATAGTTATCAATGAAAGAGCTCTGAAGGGAAGTGGGATGCTTCCCTGAAGAGTTTTTAAACCTTTGGTTATTGCTTCCGCAAATTTTAGTTTCTATACTTGTTCGTACAACGTTGAGCGCACTCGCGATAAATTTATACGTTTCACATAATAGGCACGAAGTTTCTCCAAATGAGTAACAAAAACAAAAGATGCAAAATTTTACATGGTACTAAAAGCATAAGATGATTGGATAAAACATAATAAGAAGATAGCAAATTGTATTTTTAATTAAAAATGAAACAACAGACTTTGTAGTTAATAGACATGTAATAATTTGAAACAATTAAGGTTAATAGCAAAATACATTCATCTAATACTATCAAATCTTACCCAACAGAAAGGAGATATCAAGGGAAATAATATGAAATGATATTAACATATAAAAGTGAGCAATAGCTCCAGATAATTTCGTTCTCTAGAAGGATCGTAAGCTCTATAACTTAAATTCATACTTATATAGCCAAAAGAAAACTTGTTCATGAACAACACATCTTGGGATGGAGGTTTCAAGGCCTGTGAATCAGCCTATGTTGGTGCTTTGCTGAGTGGAGGTTAGAAGGACATTGAAGTTGACAGATTCCTCAAAAGAATGCTCAGTTTGTTGCTGCAAAAACATAGAAAAAAAAAAAAAAGTTGAATAAATAAAACAAAGTTCAAAACTGAAAACTTCAAGTTTAAAAAGTTAAAAAACTTAAAGTTCACCTTCTCAAGATTATTTGTATCAGCTCTTTTGTTGCACCTCCTCTTATTATGATTATTTTCTCCACACACACTGCATCTCTTGATAAGTCCCTTTCTGCTGCTATTTGTTGCCACAGACTTTAAGTCATTAGCATCAACTCTTCTTTTCTTTGTTGGCCTACCCCTCTTTTTCACAGCACCAGGAGGATGAATTGGGTCCATTCCTGATTCTTAATATCCATTCATCCCTGGAACTAGGAAGAACATATGGCTATACATCCTGATATACATGTCATTTTTGAAGAATTCAGACACATAATCAGAAAGAGGGAACCTATGATAACAGATGCATGCTAGTGCATGGCAACAGGGGTACCCAACCAATTGGAACATGCCACATGTACAACTCTTTGCTCTCAGCATTTTTCATCTATTTCAAAATTGAATTTGCACCATTAGAGTTTGAAATATACATAACTGTAGCGAAAGAAATTTTGTTTGACCATTTATAATTATTATTTACGAGTTTATTTTATTTTTTAATTTTTACGTATACAACTGTACACGGTCTTTCAATCCTTCCGTCTCAGAATTGAATTTTCACTATCCAAATTATGGTTTGTTGTGGCGAAATAAAACTTTTTGGAGAATTAACAATTTTTTGTACATTAAATAATGGTATACTGTGACAAAAGAAAAATTATTTGGAATTGGGATTTTTTTCCATTATTTATAATTTTTTTTGCATTTTTTGAACGAGTTATTGGTCGTTTTACTTTCGTCTCACTATCAATGTTTGTAATCTATACTAAACGATGGTATATTGTGATAAATAAGCCTAAAAAAACTTTCTTTCGCCTCACAACGCTACCATTTTTACGTGTACAACAAACTTTGATAGTAAAAGTTTAGTTTGACATGAAAATTAAAACGACCAATACCAAATCTTATAAATTTTATCCAAAAAATTCTCTTGAGCTGCTCAAAGAAGCCAAAAAAATCTTTTGATATTGGATTTAGGAATTAGTATATCCTCTCCATTCACCTTGAGGGTCCAAGATTATAGGTTGAAGCAGGGCAGCATGACCTTTGCAAATATTTGTCATATGATATCAAAATATAACAATTCACCAGCTACTAGCATTTAATATGTGTCTTTTCAATCGAACATAATGGTAATTCATATGTCTACATTCCAATAAAAAAAATTGAGAATTTAGTCAACAAATTATCCAATAATTAATTCTCCATTGCAGGGATATATATATAAGATATAATATTTTGCCATGGTCTGAAGTTCTATACTGCAGCTAACATAGTGGAAATTGACCATTTTATAAAACTATATACCTCTTGTCAGTACCAGAAGCACGATTTTGGATATAATTCCTCAGGGAAGATTATTGGGTAAGAGCGACTGTAGTATTTTTTTGTTGCATTCTTCGTCTTGCAATATAACCACGAAGCCAAGGGGTGACATCGTCATTAACTTTGATCACGATGAAGAAGATGATCCTGTAAATTATAATCATGCTCAAGAGAACACTTAGGTCCACCCATTTTGATCTCTGCATATCTAAGTGGAAAACATTTTCTAAGATATATAATATATTCTCCTGAAATTTTTGGAAGATTGGGTGACTGATTGTCAAAGACTAAGCCAATTAGACTTTCGTCTCAAAATTGAATTTTCACCATCAAAATTTTAATATACATTAAAGATATTTTGTTTGAGATCTTTTATCCATCATTACGAGTTTTTTAATTTTTGAATTTTTACGTGTCATGTTGTACACTGCCTTCCAGTCATTTTTCTTCTGTCTCAAGAAGTTTTACCAACAAATTATGTAATATACATTAAATGAATTGAAATTTTACGTAATATACATTAAATGAAATTTTACCTCCAAATTATGTAATATACGTTAAATGAATTGAAATTTCACGTAATATACATTAAATAATGGTGTACTATGAACTAAATTTTCACTATCAAAGTTTGTATCAGCGTAAAAGTTTGTATCAACATAAAATGATAATGTATTATGACTTAAGATTTTTTTTTAATTATTTTTTTTACCATAATTTACGCTTGGTGAATCTAAAAAATGAGTACGTGCTTTGTAAAGTTATCTCTTTTTTTAAAATGAATTATTATTAAATTATGTTGCCCAAAGGCCCCAAACTAAAATCAAATAATCTCATATATCAATCGCCTATGCTATATTACCTATGATACAACATCACATAACATAGAACCAAGCCAAGTCAAAGAAACTCCGTACCAAATACTACCTCCTTTTTGTTTTTCTTTTTTTTGAGCAGATAAAAATACATAAAAAATTACCTAAAGAAAAAAAAAAAGAAAAAAATGCATGTCCTCTTTCCATCGCCATATAATTAAATATATGCATTAAAAATTCAGAAGTTAACTAGGGATGACTAAAGAAGAGCAGGAATTAATAAAGCACCAAATCAAGTATTAACTTTCTAATCTGTAAATTTACATATCGAAGATGGCAGCTATAACTTCATGTTTTCTAATCTTACCGAACTCTGCTTCTGAACACAGAGAATACTGAGTAACATTATTTTTTTCTTTGCGATCTCTGCTCCACCAACAAATAGCAGCTTCAATCAATGACATCTCTAGAACACAGTTTTAACATCATACAGTTTTGTGTGATGGAGACGTACACTATACGAAAACCTGCCAGCTCCTACCACCTTCATTTCCATTGACATAGCAGCCTTCTTGTTTGGTCAAAAAAATTAAAATGTTAAGAATTATCAATCAGCAACCCCACTCCTGCTTCATAGGTACAGAACTTGACGAGCCAAATATCATGGGCTGGATAAATAAATCAAGAAAAAAAAAGAGTAGAATAACTATCATGAATTGGGTGTAAAAAATGAATAGTTAGTTTCACAAGGATAATGATCACAGAAGTATTGCAGAGATATGCTAAAAGCAAACAGACAATTGTAAGGGTAAAAAACTTAATATTATCGATCTAAAAAGTAACATGTAAAGAGCATATTTTGCTTACTCGCCAATAACACATTAGATCCAAGATAATGCATTTGAAACCAAGGTTTTGGAGACTGGATCGGACATCAAACCGGTAAAACTAAAGGTTCAATGGTCCACAGTTGAACCGGATAGAAAAAACTTAGCATTAGTGTGATCTAAATACTAACATGTGCCTTATCGGTATTCGGATTGTGGAAAAGCACTCTTAACTCTTGAATTCCGTTTACTCACCAATACGCACATTAGATCCAAGATATTATATTTGAAACCAAGATTTGGAAGATTGGCTCAATCATCAAACCAGTAAAACTATATGTTCAATGGTCCACAGGTTCCCGTGGTCAAACTGGATGAAATTTATTAATAATTTTAGATTTTTTAAACAATAATATAATAAGAAAAAACACTGAATTATAATAAGCAAAAAATGAATAATGGCAACAAAGTTTAACCAAACCTATTCACAATTTTATTTGTGCAATGCTCAAACACAACATAAATCATTCCCTTTAACAACTATTGCGTACATTGATAGCAAAACTAGTTTACAATTAAAAAAAGTCCATCTACCTGAAAACTTGTCATACCAATTCAGTCAATCTATGAACCGAAATCAGACTGAACAAAGAAAAACTAATGGGACAATACATCAGAGAAAATAAAGCAAGATTAGCCATTTAGATGCAAGAGAGCGCAACCATTTATGGAGCCCTATGGCTTAATCGGTAATCATTTGTTATTACAGGGTGGGCATATATAATACACGGGATGTTGCCAAATCAATGGTAGGGTTCCGTTCTCTGGTTTTATAGAAAATTTTGAAACCAACACTGCCATAAAATACATTTTCGCCGGACAATAATGACAAAATATATTAAAATAAAAAATTTTGAGCATCACCAGATATAAAATGAATTTTATGATAAGTTACTTGATAATTAGTTGATATAAAAAGAAGTAAAATCATTTTTGGTCTGATATGTAACAAATATTTAATAAGCAACAACTACAACAACATACCCAGTATATTCCCAACAGGTTGGGGTCTGGGGGGTCAGTTATACGCAGACCTTACCCTTGTAATTATACAAGGAGGCTGTTGTCGTAGCGACCCAAGGTGCATTGTGCCGTTTGATATATTTTTTTTCTAAAAACTTCACTAATAGAAGAAGCACTAGAATTTAATTGAGCCATTTTGATCTAGTCCATTATTAGCACTATGTCAGGAGAATTGTCAACAATGACTCTTCCAGCTCCATGTAGTTGTTTCTTCTTTGTAGTTGTTTCCTCTAAGAAGAAATAACTACATGGAAGGGAAAAATTTGTTCAACCTGAGACTTTTAGACATAAATATAAAATTTATATTTATAAGCAATACTTTGATGTTTCACAATTAATTTATTTATGTTTTTTAAAAAAAACAGCAGAAGTGGTGAGAGATAAATTGAACGTGAACAATAAGTGTATTTTATGAAAACTTCTGTAAACAATCACAACATGAAGTAAAACATTTTCTCTAAGAAACCATCAAGACTGGTCATATCCAAAAGTGATCATTCATTGTTATGTTGTTTGACACAGAAAAGTTCCCAGGATATGGAACAGGAGTTTAAGCAAATGTAGGATGGCATGCTCAGTGCAATACACACAGACTAGATAACCATATTGAGAGCCATTTTTTCGCTAATGGAAGTGTAAAAGAGTAACAGCGTATATAATACCTGTGATGAATGCACAAATATACTGCTTGCAAGGTCCTCATTTAAGAGCACAGGAAGAGGTGGCATTCGGTTCATAATTCCAGGCATGTTTCTCATGCTGCATGCAAAAATGAAAATAAGTGCGACTAAGTATAGAAGTATAAGCTCCAAAACCAAAGAAGGGGCGAATAAGAATAACATACTCATTCAAGATTGTAGTTAAGTTGTTCCTGGTACGAGAAAACAGATCTATGTTTTCCTGCAACTGATACATGGAATGCACAATAAGAAGACGTCAGCTTATGTAAAATATTAAAACGCCAAGTAAATATAAAGAAACAGAAACCATATGCATATATCAACGAAAAATGAGCATCAATATACCTATAAAGACCAGTATACTCATTCAAAACGGTGTACGTATTTATTTATATAATACATCAAGGGAAAATCAACAAAATGGCATCCATAAAGCAAAGCACCTTTCATGGAAGGTGTGATAGTCTGTATAGGATCTTATAGAAGATATAATCCTTAATTCCATTAAAATTGAGTCGCCAAAATAAATGACCAAGACTGCATAAGTAATTACACAAAGCTAAGTGCATCTTAAACTGAAGACCCACATGAAATTACTCACTCCCAATTCCAAAACAAGCCCAGGGCCACGGCCTAGCTCGTAAAACTGTGAAACAGACAGCTCTGGCCCTACTCTTGCCCAGCCCATTTAGATGTAGGCCTGTATTCAACCCGCTCAGAGACTGGAGAGGGCCAAACCGCAGGCATCCCATTTCTGTTGTGCTCTTGTGGTTGTTGTTGTTGTTGTTGTTATTTTTATTTTTATTATTATTATTATTATTATTATTATTATTATTATTAGTACAGTTAAACAAGTTGATTGTGGACTACCTTATCAGTCATACTTTGATATGCCATAGATTGTTTTGAATTAAATAATCACAACTGAGAATTCAAGTCTATAAGCAACCATAGTATTAGTCATAAAACCAATCAGTTTTGAAGACTACTGAGCTTTCTTCAGGAAAGCCTAACAACATTTTATTTTTCTTTGGGACAAATGACAATTTACTAAATATCAAATTAAAAAGAACAAGAAACCAATCAATAGAAAGCAGAGAACAATTCTGCTACAGCATGATATCAGATCAACTCAGAAAGTAAGTTTAAACTACTTAGTAACAACTTTTCCTCTCATAGACAACATATGACGTCATTCCAAGAAAAATATCTACCAAAGTCTACTTAATAGAAAATAACAAAGCCATCTATAGTAGTTTGCGAGAAATGAATACAGTGAAAAAACCAAGAACAAACATCTATAGTAGTTTGCAAGAAATGAATACAGTGAAAAAACCAAGAACAAATTTCCAGTGACCTCCGTAGCCCTAGAAACCTTCTATTCCAAGCACCAGCATGCATCTACAGCTGCCAAAAGTGGTAGACTACAAGGTGGACCACAGTCCACCTTGCATTGTGCACCAAGGGCCGAAAGTATACATTAGTTGATATGTAATGTACCAAAGTATTGATGTATCTATAAATATCTATCTATCTATCTATCTATCTATCTATCTATATATATATATATTCAAATTTTTAATATCCATCAAAAAATTAGATTATTTTGGTTCCCTCAATAATATGCTAGTTTGTTAAATAGATAAATAAATCATTAACAACAGAGTTGTACAAATTTTAAACTTTATTGTACAAAATATTTAAAATCAGTATCACTTTTTTTGAATAAAACAGTCTAAACATTTTATAAGAGATAAACAGGACTATTCGAAGCCTTCCAAAAATATTTAATATTTCGGACTCAGGTTAAAATTTCACAATAGATTTTTTTCCCTACATCATATACAACAATTGTTTAATTAGGCAACTTATAAAAAATACTATGTACAAATTTTCAGTATTAATTGTTAATTCATGATAAATTGAACACCAAATATTGAGGGAAAAAAAAATTGTTATATAAAATGCTATATTGAAGATATTATTGAATTATAAATCTACATAATGCAAGGTGTGAAGTGGGAGAGAAGGGATGTCATAACTGGGGTTTTGAATAAGACGACCTTTTGGTTTTTCATTTTTTTCGTTGAAAAAGTCTCAGGATTGAGAGGTGTTAAGCTTCGTATCATCCTGGCGTCGAGCTATTTTTCCGCAGGACCTCCCCTACACTATCGTCACTGCACTACAGTAGATTCAACCACCAAATTCGGGATAGATTGGTGTGGTTCCTCTACGCCTAGGACACCAGAATATCGAACCATGAACGAAGAAAGGCATGAGACATTTTTTTAAGAGACTAGACTAATATTAATCAATGAAAACACATTATAGACGAGCCGAAAATATTTATATTTATTATAAAAATTGAAATATTTTTTTATTTATATATTGATAAATATCCGTTTTTACTTATATTTAAATGGACATAGTATTTATTTTTTAATGGACATGCATGCAATTGGATAATCACATGGAATATTTGACAAGCTATAAATTCTATTTTTGAAGAATAACAAAATAATATTTTTAGGTGCTTTTGCGCATGTTAATTAGGTCATATTACAATTTAAGTGGAAAAATAAAACACACTCCACCCTCAATTTTCATGAATATTAATCACATAACAAGTTAGTTCTTATAGAAACAAAATGATGATACAATCTCATATATGGTGAACTATGTTTATGTTGCAACATATTTAATTAACAAAATCAATTTTAATATTAACACCATAGTTTTTTTAAAAATCAATTTTAATATGGTTTTCCATGCATCGCATGGGCTGCGTACTAATATCTATAAATCATGGATATAAGATTTAAATGTAGTCAAGGTAAGAAGAAAATACCTAAGATATCTAGGATAAAGTGGTGGGACCAAGATAAAAATGAAAGATTTACTAAGACTTTACTTGAAAACATCAATTGGATTATGGAAAAGAAGCAATAAAACATGAGAGAAGGTACTAAAGAGAAAAAATTAATTGCTAAAAGATAATTAAAATTAAGGGTTCCTAGAGATAGTAAGTGTACTAAAGAATCGTGTTGGTGGAATCAAGACACCCAAAGAAAGGTTAAGGAGATAAAAACGTGTTACAAATTGTTATACAAGTGTAGGAGTAATGAAAATATAGAAAAATATAAAAATGCAAAAAAAGAAGTGAAAACGTTGGTAAGTGAAACAAAGATAATATCCTTGGAAAACTTTTATACGAGATTAGATACTAAGGAGGAAGAAAGGGGCATCTATAAAATTGCAAAGCAAAGGGAAAAGAAGACAAAGGACTTGACGGAAATTAAATGCACATTAAGATGAAAATGGAGAGGTGTTAGTTGATGATAAATTATAAGACAGGCGGAAAGATTATTTTCATAAACTATTTAATTAAGTAGATAATAGGGAAATATCACTAGGGAAATTAGAGGAAAGTGAGAAATACAACAATTACACATGCTATAGAAAATCCAAACCAAAGTGGAATTGTTGTATTTCTCACTTTCTATAGCATGTGGAATTGTTGTACTTATTTTCATAACCGTATTAATGTACTTATTTTTTGCATAAGCGTAAAAGTTTATTTTCATGCTATTGAAACAATTCCACATGCTATTGAAACAAAGGGTTTCAAAATAAGTAAGGCCAAAATGGAATATATAGAGTGTCATTTTAGTAATCAAAGGAGTAACAATGGGGCAAAGGTTAATATTGGGGAACACGAATTGAACCCATCTAATTTTAAATATGTAGGATACATTTTAGAAGATAATGGCAACACATATAGGATATAACACATAAAAAGTCAATCGGGTTAGAAGAAGTGGAGAAGGGCATCGTCGATACTTTGTAATCATAAAGTACCAGTGAGTTTGAAAGGCAAGTTCTATCGAACAGTCATTCGACCAACAATGCTTTATGGATCCGAGTGTTGGGCTACTAAATATAGAAATGATAAAAAAATTTGAGTGGCAGAAATGAGAATGTTGAGATGGATGTGTGGGCATACTAGGTTAAATAAGATTAGAAACGAAAGTATTAGAAATAAAGTTGGGGTAGCGTCCTCTATAGGAGAAAATGAGAGAATCACGATTAAGATGGTTTGGGCATGTGCGAGGCACCATGAGAAGGGTATAAGCATTAGATTTAAGAACGGAAATTAAAAGGAGGAAGGGTAGACCTAAGAAAACTTGGAAGGAGGCAATAAAAAATGATTTAAAATATTTAAATTTGAATGAAGATATGTGCTTTGATCCATGTATCCATACAACCGACCTCACTTAGTTATATGTGCATGAATAGAAATTTATCTATTATTGAATGTACCTCGGAGTTTCAACTCATGATCAAGATTTAACTTTGTATTTAATGAATTTTATATATTTGTGTTTTTTTATCTTTCATATAATACATTTTGTAATTGTAATGTACATGTATTTGCTCTATAATGTACACATATACTAATGTATAGTTATAGTTTATGCTAAGTATCTACATGCAGATCCACCTCACACTGGTCTTTGTCAATATAAAAAAAGAAGTTATAGTTTATGTCACTA